ACCTTGGGCTGGCGGTATGTGCAATTATTTCATGAGCAGCTGCCACTACACTTGTAGCTTCACCCACCTGCCTGTTTGTTCAGAAGGCAGATTGTCAGCCAAAAAAAGTGAGCTCTGTGACACTGTAAGCAAAGGAGGAGTAGTTGAACAAACAAAAGTCTGCAGTAAGATGTGAACCTATGAAAAAGCAGTTAGTCTCATGACTAAAATCACATCTGCAGTCTTAGCTTTTCATACACACTGTCAACTGCCATACAACTACATGCACTTACATAAGCTCACATCAGTGCAGTCATGTACAATCATAAACATTCACTCAGAACTACATGCATATAACACACGCACACAAAACTGCACATGTATACTGACACATATACACATATACACACATACACATACCCTCACACAAGTATGTACTCACATATATATGTATGTACTCACACAAATAGTCTCACAGAAATAACCACACATATTTCATAGAATGCTTATTTTCCATAAAGCTTCAAAACTATCCCACTTGGAAATCTGAGTATTTGTACTAAAAATGACCTAGAGGTCTTTTTCCTGTTTTTCAGTGGCTTAACTGAAGGGTTAAGTGGGACAATGCGGTATCTTCCAGCCCCTTTCTTTGGAAGAAAATTCCCAGTGCAGGTGGTGGAAGTCCTCAAGCCTGAGTCATACAAAAAGGTGCAGCTAGAGTTTGAGGCCTGGGTGGTCCTAAAACTGTTAGCCTTATTACTTATCACTGTCATCCCCAGGACTGCACCTCACACATAGGAGGAGCTCAGTATATGCGGAATAAATATTTCATCCATCCTTTTATGTGGGTAATTTCTTTTTCTCCTCTCCTTTGCCTGACTTGTAATAGAAGTGCCCAAGTTCTCTGAGAATAAAACCCTCCCTGAAGAGTAGAAAACCCTACATAAATTCATACTCTTGAGGATTTAATCAGAGATACCCAAATCCTCAGACATCATCTAGTCCGAGGTCTTCATGTTTTTAGATAAATGGACTGAGGCCCAGAAATGTTAGTAATTTCTCCAAATTCACCTTGCTAGTTGGCAGTAGGCCAACAACTAAGGATTCGATAGTCTGATTCTTGATCTGGTTCTATCTTGGATTAGATTTGGATAATTTTATTACAGGAATAATTCTTTGATAAAAATGTTAAGAAAATGAATTGAACATGGGTTCTTAGAACTTTACAATAGTTTGATCATTAGGAATTGTACTGGTTTTAATAGAGTAATTACTGTAGTTGTAATAATCCGGTTTATGATATCACACCAAATGCATTCCCAGCTAATACGAATTTAGTCTAATGACTTTAGGTGTCATAGAAAATCTCTTTTCTATTATTTCTATACATTTAAACTCTGAATTTAAAATTTTCTTAGTGTATGGGATCTCTGAAATTCTAGGGCTTGTTAAATCTACCTGGTAGATACATCAGAGAAATCTCATGTTGACAATGGTTTTTAGCCTTGCTTTAGTTAACAGATATAATGTCCATAATGCCAGTGACATCCCTTCCCTAGAGCAACAGAACCACAAACTATCTCATTAGAGCTTAGATTTGTTTTAGAACTTTGATCTTTATTTAGCTAATGCAGTCTTATGGTGTCATCCTTCTTGTCATTTCATAAACAGGAGTTTGGTTTTTTTTGTCTGTTGTTTTCTTATTTATTGAATTTGTATTTTTCTAGAGTTGACTTTTTAATTTTTATTTTTTAAAAAGTATCTTTATTTTTAAAAAAATTTTTTAGTTGTAGATGGACAATATCTTTATTTATCTTTATGTGGTGCTGAGGCTTGAACCCAGTGCCTCACACATGCTAGGCCAGTGCTCTACCACTGAGCCCCAATCTCAGCTCCTTAATTTTCATTTTTTGAGCTGTGTTAAGTTTAGACATTTCCCTCTATCCCATGTCTGTTGGGTTCACATGGAAACCTGTTTATGTGCAATATTTAAGGTCAGTGAATGACATGCCATTTTCAAATAATATATATGAATGCTGTGCATTTATTTACATAGTCATATGTTTTCTATAAATAATGTAATATGCTCTGTGTATGTGGCAAAGGGTATGAAATTTGAATAGACAGTGTTAACACTCAAATCTGGTAACGATTAATGGCTATTACTCTCACTTGAACTACCATGCCCTGCCTAAAAGGCAAACATGATGTTAAAGTAAAAAAGACATTTAAATAATTTAAAATACATTATGATATAGTGAATACTAACAGTGGTTAAAATAGGGCGATGAAATTGTGGGTAATTTTTCTCTTTTCTCTCTTACTGTTTTATAATGTCTTTTATTTTTATACTGAAAAGAATGCATTGATTATTTTTTAAAAAGGCAAACAAGAAGAAATCAATAAAGCAGCAACACTGAACAAATATGTTTGTAACAATCCCCCAGCTAGGGAGATAGGATGCTGAAGCGTGTTGATGTTATTACAGCTCTTGCTCTTTAGTGCCAGTCTGCTTTCACAAAAGGGTCCACCCATGTGTGTGCCTATTTCTTTTATTGTTCTTAATAGTCTTAAGGTTTTATCTTTTAATTGTTCCTTACCAGATCAAAAGTCTCCTCCCCCACTCCCGTCTCTCCCCCTCTTTTTTTCCTTAACATTCTGTCTTCTTGCTTGGCTTCTATGGTGGTTTTGTGTTTTTTATTTTTAATATTTTTTAGTTATAGTTGGACACAATGCCTTTATTTTATTTATTTATTTTTAGGCAGTGCTGAGGATCGAACTCAATGCCTCACACTTGCTAGGCAACTGCTCTACCACTGAGCCACAACCTCAGCCAGGGTTTGTGTTATTTGACATAAAATGTTATCAACTGACTATTAGTTCTGAGATAATGACTTTTATATGTAGGTATGTTTTATTTATGACATGAAATGATTCAATATTATACGACTTCAAAATACTTCAAAATTAAAGTGGGATAATTGTTGGCATTAACAGAAATCTTGGGCTCTGACACTCAGCATGAAGAGGGACTGCTTTTAGATTTAGCCCAGTTTGATTGTGCTGTTGAAGTGATTATCCCTTTTATTTTCTGGTAAAGTGAAACAGCTTTTGTGAGTAATTTCTGTGCTATGGATCGATGAATTTCCAGATTTATTTTGCTAGTTAAATGTTTCTGACAAATATCCTCAGTCATACAGGAAATTATTGTATTTGTCATTTGTCTTTGGCAGGAAAGAAAATACCATGATATTTTCAAAATACAGAAACATACCTAGGTCAAATTTTAAATATGTATATTTGTATGTGTGTGCATATGTATGTACATTCACATGCACATACAAGTAGCAAGTAGCACTTGTAAAATTTCTATCATAGGACACCACCGAGAATTAACTTTAGGTATTAAATAAGATGCCTAACTTAATACAGTTAAGAAAAATCTTCATTACCAGCACATGAAAGCTTCTATTCTAATGGAGTGTCCTCACAGTTGATCTAATGATAACCTTAATTTTTAGGTTCAAAAGTATTGAAATAGAAATTATGTAAACCTTATGAAAATTTAACCCTTCCATCTTGCCTCCTAGACCCTCCTTGCTGTCCCCAGCTGGCCAGACTGTCTAGATGAGCTGGGTTCAAAGGAGTTGGCTATATCTATAACTATGAAAACGGCGAAGAAACCCCACAAACACGAAAATACCTGTTTCTTAATTGTGGGGGTCAGGACGGCTCTGAGACCTCAAATATCAGCTCCCATGCTAGAAAGAGGACAAGGGGAGCAAGAGAGGTAAGCAAGAGGCAAGAGAGAGAGCACACCTGAAAACCCCCATATTTACTAGGGAAAAGTCATCACTAGAATATTCCACCTAAATAAGGCAAGGGATTAGGTTTCAAAGGGTGGAGTCTTGCTTGGTGATGTCCTGTGGTCAGCAGGTTGCTTGACATCTTGGAAAGCCACACCCATCTCAGGTGCTGTGTGGGAACACAGGCAGAGTAAGAGAAAAGGCACACATACATTGAATAGCCCAATCAGGCAGCAACATCAGGCCAGTCCCCCCATATCGCTCAAATGCTCACACACACAGCCCATGGATGGCTCGCTACACCTTGCCATTTTATTATGGGAACAAACTTTAAAGGCCAGAGGCATAATTCTTATTTTGGATCTTCCTTCACAAAATTTTTTATACTTTATTTTGTTTTTCCTAAATACTATGATTAACTACTGGTTACAAAGGAAAGGGTTGAGTAGATCTTCCTGAAGCAATCTCTCTTCTTTTCCTTGTTAGTCTTATTGAAAAGCAGTTTTGCAATAAACACATAAAACAGGGGGGCTATTAAAAAATGTGTATCTATAAGAGCTAGTTCAACTTTACCCTTGTTCTTGCTAACCAATCCTCAAAGCAGTCAGGAAATTCTGGGCTCAGGAAGTCCTTTCCAGATCAATATGGGCTGAGAGGAAGAAAGTAATCAAAAGGCAGAACATCTGGGTCTCTTTTGGTCTTGTTAGAAAAAAAAATTTTGGAGCAGTCAGGAGAATCAGAGAGAAGAAAAAAGAGTCAACATCTATACTCTCTCCCTTTCTTTTCAAGAGTATTTCTGAGAGGACATATGGCAGAGAAACTGTGGAAACATGGTCTCATGGGAAGAATGGTTCTGAAGAAAAACACATTGGCCACTTGAAAATTGTCCCCCATCAGCTGGCTGACCAGGCAAAGGAATCTGGTTTTTGTTCTCTCATTAACAAATGTTTTAGTTAGTTTTATGTTTCTATAATAAAACACCTGTGACTGAATAATTTATAAAGAATAGAGGTTTATTTGACTCTCTCTCTCTCAACATGTGTATGTCACTTCCCCCTCCCTATGTTTTCAAAGTAAAATGTTTCAGGAATTTTACTCAGAGACCCCACTCAACCAAGAATAGGTTCAAAGCATAATTTTTGTGAGATTTTGTCAAAACATAGAAATAACAAAAAGAAAAAAAAACAATGAAAATTAAAAAAAATCACTAGAAAATTTGGGAAGAGAAATACATTTTTAATAGACATATAAATTATGCAATTTAATTTAGAAAACACCAATGACTCTTGCATTTCTAGAAAGTAGATGCGCATTTCTAAAAATAGTTACATTAAGTTAATAAAGAATAGGAATTTATTCTGCTTTCATATCTTATGAATTATTGTTATGATTAGTAAGACCAAATTCTAACACAAAGATCTATAATAAGACATTCTTTGAATATTAAAATAATTCTCCCAAAGCCTATATTAAGCATTACATATTTCTAGCAAGTTATTATATTTGATACACAATAGTGAGTAATATGTTATTATGAAAACCTTTTGGATGAAAATAATGAACTTAGGATGTTTTAGAATATTTGATGATTTTGGCACATCTGTCTATTTCTTTTGCTAAACATTCAGATTGATATTTTTCTTTAACTATCTGATCTTACTCTGTTCTTAGAAGTTCAGTCTCTGTAAGCAGATGGAAAGGAAAGACCCTCCTGGATTGTTATGGTGAATATTTGGCTCTGAATTAAATGCATGTTTAATTTCTAGTAATGTTGAATTTGGCTGGATACCCCTGTGGTTTTAATATTCTAAGCCTTTAAAAGCACATGGGTTCTCAAATAGCAACATGCTTTTCTCCTGATTTTTCTATCCCTGACTAGCATTTCTGTTATTACCCTCACTGCCTACTTCAAACAATTTTTTATGCAGTTTACAATTCTTGTAACATATGGCTGCAGCTTACAAGCTCTTTGTGGGCTTTGGCAAACAGCCATATGTGATAGTGAAGAATGAGTTCCTGAATGAGTAGTAGAGAATCCTGTTTTTATCCATTTTTCCTCTTGAGTTTAACTCTGAAGGTAGGAATGGGTTAGACATCTTTCTTTCCTCCCTGAAGTCTCCCCCTTTCCTTCTCTTCCTTCTTCCTCCCTCCCTTTCTTCTTTCTTACTTCATTGTTGCTGAAAACCATTCAAAGCAGAAAATGCATTGGCTCTTAAGCCTCATCACTCATATTTAGAAATCCTGTGTGGATTTTTGTCTTAGAAAAATAATAGTTTCATTTAGCATTGGTTGAGATGAAGGCTAGGCAGAATTTTCTGCTACAATAGAGGGAATTAGAAGGAAGGAACAGATGCTTTGAAAATATACAATGGGTCTGAGACAGCCAAGAAGGGAATATTCTGTCTTGAGACAGTAGTGGGGAAAAGGACCAGGGCAGTCTCTCCTCAGTCTGAGATAACATCATCCCTCATTCCTAGCTCCTTTTCCCACTTCCCTTTTCTTGCAGTTAGTCAGGAGAGGGTTGCCTCCCCACCTGGTGTGTGTGTGTTGCAGGAGGGTGAGGCATCTGGCTGAGGATTCTAGGAGAAGCAGCTGGGAGAGATGAATCACCCACAGTTGTGATTCTTTCCGTTTGGTGTTGGGGTCTCTTGTGATCATCTTTGAGTCAATGCACTCTGCACAACCGCTATTCTGTCATTTGATCAGTTGGTTGAACTTATGGATCTAACATAGGATTAGTTGTTTTTGACCAACAGTAATGATGACCTAAATATCTATGTTCTGAATCTACTGTAGTCCCAAGTGCAAATAAGAGAATTTTTTGATTAGCATCTACATAATTTGCATAGGGGGAAATCCATAAGGGGTGAAATACATGTGTAACATATACATTTATATAAAATATATAGATGTGTATGTACACATATGTATATGGTCACACATTTATATATGAATATATTTATACTTTATGTACACAGTTTAAATGGAACCTAGACATCCACTAATTACTAAGGAATTTGCACTATACGTAGAAATAAATATAACCTCACATTGTCAATATTTAGATCTTGTAGTGGGAGTCTTTAAACACCAAATCTTCCTGTTCACTAAAAAATTGAACTATGTACCATCTTAATAGGGAAACAATATAAATTTATTAATGGTATGTTTTTTACTAATGGTATGTTTTTCAGAGACAGTGGGATATGGTGAAGATGTAAGGTCGGAAAGAACGGCTTCCGAGGGCCGATGAGGCTCAGTTTACTGGTTCCAGGTTGGTGTCGGCCACCGTGGGCAGCTGGAGTCGGGCCGGGGCCCCGGGGCCCAGCTCCTCTGAGGCTGCAGGCAGGGGCTGCTCGCTGGGCTCACACCCAGGCGGCCCTGCTGGAGCTTGCACCTTGGCTGGAGGTGGTGGAGCGGAACCCTCTGCTTCCACCCTGCGCGGGGAGGCCTCGGATACGGCCTGTGAGGCCTGACCGGAAGCTCCGACCCCTGATTTCCGGGGCAGCTCAGCAGCCTGAGGCTCCTCGGGGAGACTCTGAGCTCGGGGTTCTGCTCCCGCCTGGGTCAAGGGATTACTGACCTCAGGGGCAGGCTTTGCCTCCTCACCACCTTGGGCCTCAGCCTGAGGGACTGGAGGAGGCCGCGGGTCAGTTGAACCCCCGAGAAGGAGCGGAGGGAGCGCTTCCAGCTCCAGAGGGGCGGAGCCACCGCTGCCCCGAGGCCCGCCCAGTGCTGAAGGCAATGCCTCCGACTGCTGGAGGTTGGACTCCGGGTGGTGAATTACCTGGAAGGCTGCAGCCAGGTTTGCCACAGCGTTTTGAACACTGTTGGCTTCCTCTGCATCTCTCTCTCGATCCACAGAGACATTTGCCTCTGGCTCTTCGTCGGAACTATGCTGACTTTGGTCCTCCTGTTCAGACACTTTGGCTTCTCTGATTTTTTTATAGAGTTCGTTTCTCTCTTCTTGTAAAGCGCGACAGAGATTCTCCAGCCTCCCGATTTTCATCACGAAACACTCATATTCCTTAGCTCTCAGTGCTTTCTGTGATTTGAAAACACACACACAAACACACAATACGACATTGAAAAGCAAAATTTCCACAGGCTCTTCAGAAACAACAAACCCATTTGGCCTGGAATTAGTATCCACTAGGCCTTGGGCCCTGGCCATAGAGTGATGGCTGAACAGACACTGGTTCAGGTCTATTTTTTGCATTATGAGCTAGACACTGGTAGAATTTTAACCACGATGGACTGTTCTTTGGGAAAGAAAGATGGCAAGTCTTGTTTCTACTGTAGTCCAGAGCCTCTCAAAATAGATAAATTTTCTGCTTTTGAGACTTAGAAAGTGTAAGCCAAAGCCTGTGGTGAAATGAACGAGATCAATTGGGATTTCGCCCTCAGGGGTGTCTTATCTATTCTATAGATAAACTGCTATAGTCTAATCCTGGCAACCATTCGATTTATGTTGATGAATAATAAACGTAAATCTTTGGAATTGGTTCCAATTTGTGATGAATTGTTAGAACAGTAATATAACCATAGAAACTCACCACATGCTAATTCATGAAGCTGACTGCTTAAACTATTCAATTTTTCCTTTCTCTAGAAATGGTGGCATGTTTGTAGGAACATGTTCCTAATTAACTAACTCCTTACTCCTGTCTTTGAGCTACTCTGTACCTTGAAGATGGTTTTTAAATTGTTAACATGGAGAAAGTTTCACCTGTAAGCTCTGCTTGTCAGGTCTGGGCCCATGTATCTTTTACCTTTAAAGTTGAAAAACCTGCTCAGATGCTGGCATAATATCAGGATTTAAATGCCTGTTGGAGGAATTAAAAAAAATACTTCTCCATATCTGTTTAAAATGGCACATTCAGGGTGCTTGAACCCCACTGTCTTCTCAAATCAATTAATTCATCTATACCTGTTATGTGCAGGTACTGGAGAAATACAAAAGCAAATAAGACACTCATCCCACTTTAAGTTACTCACAGTCTAGCAGGCATGATGCTGATCTGGGGAAAGCTTTTGATCAATAAGTGTGTGACTTAAGATATAAACCTTTTTTTTGTTTTTGTTTTTTGAGTCAGGACTGGCTCCTAAATGACCTTTGCCTTTATTATTTTTATTATAGTTTTACATGTTACATCCCCCCAAAATTTAGCTCTTTATTAAAACATAATAATTTGTATTGTTAAGCTATAATTATATTCTAAGATGAATATCTTCGAAGTTGGAGGTGATAAAAGCTAAGAGAAAAACCTGCTCACCTCTTCAATCATGTCCAATAGGGCTTTGTTACAGTTCTCAAATCGGGCTTTCCACGTGGCTGTGTCTTTTTCCAGCTTTTTCATTTTCTTGGTTGTCTACAGAAATTAGAGTGTTTTAGTGTCAAATCCTGAAGAGTTAATGTATAAGGAAGCTATTAGTTCCATATATTACATTAGGAGCAGTTCTTTTGATACCAGTTGCTGAAGGAAACAAATGTTTGATGTCAAGAATGAAGATTGTGGAAGAGTCATGATTTATTTCTGAGTGCTTTAGGTCAGTAGTGAGCAAACATATTTGCACCAGAACCAATTTAGAAAAAAAGGAAACTACTTAGGGCACATTGTTTTGTTGTTGCTTTTTCTTTCATTTAAAATAAAAATATTTTTACTGAGATCCCTGAAATAGCTTGCAATTTAAATCACTTATTTTAATGAATAGAAGACTATCATAGTGAGAAAGTTGGCATTACTTTTAGCTATCAAAATATTGATAATAAATAGGCACATTTGAGAAGTTGCCACACAGAAAAACTCCTTTCCATTTTCTCCATAGTTATGTTCGTAGCATGAGGAAGGATTCACAAAATGTAATTGCATGTTATTCATTTTATCCTTGAAACAGTCTCATGAGGAAGTTTCTAATTTCAAACTTACTTTATAAATGGGGAAACTGAAACTCAAAGGAGTGGTGTAATATTCATGTGAGTTAACAGAAGGGTGGGTCTGGAGATCTTCCTTTCCAAAAGTGTCTGTTGGTCACCTAGCCATGTGATGGGTATGGTAGATACAGGAGTGAATAAAATGTAACCTGTCCTTTTTGAACCTTAGAGTATTCCCTGTTTCTTATTGTAGGATCTCTGGGGATAAAATGAAGTACAAGATTTGTAATCAGGCATGAATATCCTGAATTAATGATAAGTAAGACTCGCTGCTTGGGACCAAGATGCCCAAAGTTGGGTATTGGTGGTGGTCAGAGGGCCAGATTGTCAGTCCGGGCTCCAAGAGAAACTAGGTAAGCTTTGAATGTTTTTTTTTTTTTAATTTTGATTTCATATTAACCAAGTTAGTAGTTTTTAAACTTTTAAGGTTATTAACCAATTTAAGAATTTTTAAAATATTAAAAAAATTTTTTTCAGTTATACATGGACACAGTATTTTTATTTTTTTCTATTCATTTTTATATGGTGCTGAGTATTGAACCCAAGGTCTCTCACGTGCAAGGCGAGCGCTCTTCCCCAGCCACAACCCCAGCCCCACCAATTTAAGAATTTGATGAAATATATGGGACTATGGAAAAATGCAAATATATACATCAATGTGGGGTCTTTTGTTTGTTTGTTTGTTTATTTCCAGGGAATTCTCTGGTCAACCACTAAAATCCATAAAACTCTTAGAACTCTTAATTTAATATTCAGTCTAATTTTAAAACATATAATTTTGAAGTAAAATAGTTTCTCCTGTTCTAATATTTATTAGAATCTTATAACTCTAGAATTTAAAAAATTTGATTTATAGATCAACCCTGAATTTTGAAATTTGTGACTTACAACAAGTATTAACCTTCTTAAGTTTGCTTACTTAACTGAAATTTATGATAATTATTTCATGAAAATATTTCCATATTTTTTGTGCATTATAATTTGACATAAAGTGGGATTCATTATTACATATTCATAAATGCACATAATATAACAATATAATTTGGTCAATATCATTCCCACTATTTTCATATTTCCTCCTCTCCTCCTTCCCCCGATCACTTTTCTCTACTGCTCTCCCTTCATTTTTCATGAGATCTCTCTCCCACTTCTCTTTCCCTTTTTCCTCTCTGACTTTCATATATGAAAGAAAACATTATGACTCTTGACTTTCTGAGTTGGACTTATTTTGCTTAACATAATGTTCTCAAGTTCCATCTATTTTCCTTCAAATGACATAATTTCATTCTTCTTTATGGGTGAATAAAACTTCATTGTGTGTATATGAACCACATTTTTCTTTATCCATTCATCCATTAATAGACACCTATGCTGGTTCCATAGTTTGGTTCTTGTGAATTGTGCTACTCTAAACATGAGTACACATGTATTGCTGTAGTATGATAACTTTATTTCTTTAGGGTAAATACTGAGGAGTGATATAGCTGGGCTGTATGGTGGTTCCATCCCTAATCTTTTGGGGAATATCCATACTTATATCTATAGTGGTTGTACTAATTTATAGTCCCACCAACAGTATAAAAGAGTTCCTTCTCCACCATATTCTCTCCAGCATTTATTATTGTTTGTATTCTTGATAAATGCCATTCTAACTAGAGTAAGATGAAATCTCAGTATAGTTTTGATTTGCATTACTTTAATTGCTAATGATATCGAACATATTTTCATATATTTGTTGATCATTTAGATTTCTTATTTTGAGGAGTATCTGTTTAGTGTATTTGCCCATTTATTAATTGGGTCATTTGATTTTTTTGGTGTTACATTTTTTTTAGTTTTTTATATATTCTGGATATTCATTCTCTGTCAGAAGAGTAGCTAGCAAAGATTTTCTCCCATTTCGGTGGTTCTTTCTTCTCAGTCTCAATTGTTTCGTTTGCTGTGCAGAAGCCTTTTAATTTAATGCCATTCCATTCATTAACTTTTGGCACTGTTTCCTGAGTTTTAGGGGTCCTCTTGAGAAAGTCCTTGCCTGTATATTAGAGTGTTGACCGTATGTTGTCTTATAGGAGTTGCAGTTTCAGATCTAACTCCTGGGTCTTAGATACATTTGGGGTTGACTTTTGTGCAGGGTGAGAGATAAATATCTAGAAAAAATAACCAGTTTTCCTAGAACTGTTTGTTTAAAAGGCTATCTTTTTTCCAATGTATGTTTCTGGCACCTTTGTCAAGGATCAGCTCACTATATGTGTGGTTTTGTCTCTGTCTTATATTCTTTCATTGGTGTAATCAGTTTTTATGCCATTATCATGCAGATTTTGTTGCTATTGTTCTGTAGTATAATTTGACATCAGATATTGTGATGCCTTTAACATTGCATTTTTGGCTTATAATTGCCTTGGCTATTTTGGGTCATTTATTTTTCCAAATTAATTTTAGGACTGTTTTTCTAGTTCCATGAAGATTGTCATAGGTATTTTGATGGGGATCTCTTGCCTGAATTGCTCTGGCTAGAATTTCTAGTACTATATTGAATAGAAGTGATGAGAGTGGACATAGTTCTCTTGTTCTGAATTTTAAAGGAAATATTTTGTGTTTTCTCCCATTCACTATGATATTACTTTTGGATTTATTGTTTATAACCTTTATGATGTTGAGGTTGGTTCCTTCTATCCCTAGTTTCTTCGGGTTTTATCATAAATGAGTATTGAATTTTATCTGCATCTATTGATATGACTATGTGATTTTTATCCTTAGTTCTTTTTATGTGGTGAATTATATTTATTGATAGGTGTATGGTAAGCCATTGTTACAACCATGGGATAAAACCAACTAGGTCATTATGTACGTCCAATCTTCTTAATATGTTGTTGAATACTATGTGCTAATATTTTATTAAGGTTTTTCTTGAAAATATTTCTAAGAGGATATTTTCTACACTTAAAAAATGGTTAATACCAATACCTGGTCAGAAATACATTTCTGATACTGATTTTTATAATGTTTAAATCTTGGTCAAGTCAGTTTTTTCCCAATATAAAATCAGTATTGACCAAGATTTAAACATTATATCCAATAATAATATTAATAACTGTTATGGTTTAAATGTGAGGTATCCTCCAAAAGTTCATGTGTGAGACAATACAAGAAAGTGTGAGGTACATTTATTGGGTTTTAAGTGTCTTAACCTAATCAGTGAATTAAGCACTTGTTAGGAATTAACTGGGTTGTAACTATAGGCAGCTATGGTGTAGTTAGAGGAGGTAGGCTATTAGGGGATTGCCTTTGTGTTGTATACTTTGTTCTTGGTGAGTGAAACGCTCTTTCTGCTTCTTGGTTCCATGTCCTGAGTTTCTTTCTTCCAATATACTCTTCTGCCATGATACTCTGACTTACCTCAGACCCCAAAGAATGAAGTTGGCCATCTATGGATTGAGATCTCTAAACTGTGAGCACCAAATCAATGTTTCCTTCCCTAAATTGTTCTTGTCATGTCTTTTGGTCATAGCAGTGGAAAAAGCTGACTAAAACCATACCTTATATTTGTAATAGCCTCTCAAAAAGTTTAAACACCTTTTAAAATACATTAATGTATTTGAACATCACAATATCGTGATGTTGGTAATGAATATAACATCTCAATTTATAAGAAAAATGAAATTCAGGAAATTTAACAGACCTAGAATTTTTTTTTTTTTAAGAGAAAG